AGGTTGGCCACCCTGTATGCCATGTGTAACACAGACTGAGCGCGAGCTCAGTGGGAAACAAGGGAGACTCGCTTCGTGGCTTGCAATGGAATGAGAAACAGAAGGGAGGGAAGCGAGTCTGACGGCTGGTATAAAAAGAAAAGGAAGTAATGGACAGCATATGGCTGGAAGGTCATAAATAACCATGGTAAACAAGTTAATAGAGTTAAGTGCTTTTAAAGACGATGGCTGGCACTGCTGCAAAAAGTATCTTGATTATCTGTAGCCAACTCCATGTAATGAACCAGTTTTCCCACTGCCACAAGAAGACACAAATGAAACCCAGATGGCCAAATTCAGAAGCTAGAAATGGGGTCAACTCCATGATACTGCGAGGCTGCAGGTTCAGAGCCAAACCTGCCCAAGGGTGGCTGAATTCACTGAACGTCCTTAATGGACATTCACTGAACCTAATGGATGGGATTTTTCAAAGTATGAACTTCAAAAAAAACAAAACAAAAAAACCCAACCAAAAAACCCCACACCCAACCCCAAACAGTTAATTTCACACATGCCAAAACATAATAAAAGGTAAGATTTTTTTAAACTTTTCATTTCAAAACAGCATTCTTTAACAATGGAACTTAATCCCAAAAGAAAAAATGTAAATGACCTTCTACAAACATCTTTTGTGTTCAGTTTTGGATTGACCATAGCCGTTCTATTTATTCATTTAACTGAAAATGCTGACTAAAAGCTGTTTCAGTTTGACCTAAGCTGATACCCTTCATTCCTCAACTCCAAGGCTTCGATTTGGCAGCTTTGAAAAAGTCATTACTTGCCTGGGCTCTGGCTTCAGTAAGTCATGAGGTTATGACAATCGGTTCATGAATGCAGCATTATGTATAGTCCCATTTACTTAAAATTTCTTCTTGTCATGAGCAAATGGACGTGGGCAGTCATTGTTAAGGGGTAAATATTTTTATTGGACACACTTCATCCAGCAGCTCAAGAGAGAGGAAATTTTAAAGCAGATAAGACTGCCAATTATTATTCAGTCATACTTCATCTCTAAAATTTACAAACTTTGCTCCCCACAACAACTTCAACAACAACAACAAGAAACTGCTGTCCTGAATAATCCTGCCATTTCACAACTAGTCCTAGATACCCAGAGAGCACTGCAGGGGTCAAACAGTCCAGTGTTGAGTTTCATACGTACTTAAGGGTACATCACTGGGCCACTGGAACATCACACCAGTGTTGAGTATCTGCACAAAGCCAAAAGTCTGCTGGGTACTTTTAAACCCTTGTAAATACGGAACTTAACAGTCTTCATAATTTGTGATATTTTATATTGAAGGCCATAGATAAAAGTCAAATATAAAAATTCCCAGCAACAAGAAATTCTGTCATCTGTAATTTCTGAATCTCTACAAAGACACCATCAAGATACTATGTTTATCTTTACCCATTAAATAAAAGCTGCTTTTTTTTTTTTGGTAGAGAAATGAGTAATTTTAAATTGTCTGGGTCTTTTCCACATTTGTATGGACACAAAAATGAACAAGGTAATGGAGAAATTGAATTGTCCTGCGCTGTGACCACATGCAGCAGAAAAGCCTCCTTTTTTGAATGGCTGAACTTCCAGGACAGCTGTTCACTTGTACAGTCACTGATTCGAAAGCTATCCAAAAGAAGGAAACACTAAGTACAAAGTGGAGAGTGCCTCTGATTGCCCTATGCTGGCTGGGCGGGAATTTCTCATGCTTTCAGCCAAAGCAAAGGATGAACTCCACAGCAGCCCATCCAGACCCTAAACTCATCTATGCATGCCCCGATTCTCTGCCATATTGGCTGCGTGGGTAAGGCCGTATCATCTCTACTTGGTATTTTCTAACTACACAGCTAAAGTACTAATTTAACACGTGCATGATGTTAGATATAGGAAACCCCAAGCTCTTGCAGAGTTATTATGCTTCCACGTAGGACTTCACTGAGTTCAGCACTGAGGATGTGCACGGATCTAGCAGGAGTATAGGACAGATGCTGCTTCCCTGAGGGCAGGGTCCCTTCTTGGGCTCCCAAACACAGAGGTGGAGCAAGGCTGCTGCTATCACCCTCAGGAGGTGCAGCCCTCACCCTCCGCGCGACCAGCATATTCTCGCTGTTGGCGCAGGCATATAGGTACCAGACTGCAGACACACCTTCCTGTCACTCCCTGCTGCAGTCACCCCTCTCCCTTTGGGCACATGGAAGGACTTCAGTTGTGCCCTGCTGTCACACAGCGTAGGGTTGCCCTACCCCTGGCGTGGACCCCAGTGCAATTCCCATGGAAAATAAGACATCGCCTCTCAGCTGACTGTCCCAGCATTGGAACAGACCCTGCAGAGCAGCAGAGCATTTCACCTGGGCTCTCCCCTTTGGCTCTTTTTGTCTTTGGCAACAGACCATAATGTTCAGTATCCTATGTGCACAGGTTGATGGCAAAGGAAAGAGCCTCTCCAACAGCAGCCCTGGGAAAGAGGAATGAACACTTCTTACCTAGTATATGAACAAGCTCATTTGGGGGCTACTGTAAATTCCACCAGTAGCCGCAATTTGGCTATTAGGCCTGCACCAATTCTAGCAGCATTCATCTCAAACCTTGTGGCACAGCATTAAAGAACAGGATTGAAAGTGCAATTCCAAATACATGTTTCCTGGTGTGGTACCGCTTTTGAGTTCAATCAAGTACATCTCTGCTATCTGCTGCCCAAATTCTTAAACCCAGCGTGAACTCCAGAGGCTTCTTAGGGCAATGCAATGTACTTTCAACTGTACCAAAAGAGCAGAGGGCTTGGTGCTGCCAAGAAAGATCCCAGACTGTAAAGTAACAATTTATCAGAATAGTAATACACATTCTATAAATAAACCAATTCCTCCCTCCTCTAAGCCAGGTGGAAGTTTAGTATCTTTACACTTGACACTACAGCACCTTCACCTCCTAGAGAATGGAAAAAGTGTCATACAATCCTGAACGTATGCAGTTACTGCTGCCATCCCATTGTTTAGGTAACAACTTCACCTAAATCTAGCATAAGATCTCTGTTGCCATCAGAAGAGGAGGTCCCACCCTCCTCCTGCTCATTCTGCCTGCCTTTCTGGGGCCAGCACTGTGGTCGCAAAATGAGCTGTACAGGATTCAACCCATTTGCAAGCCAGTACTAATACTAGCATCAGATGGCTATGTAACCAAAGCATTAGATTTTCTTTCTGCTAAGCAACACTGTCTACATCAGTAAGTCTGCACAGAGGATGGATGATGCCTGTCACCTAAACCTTTGGATCTGGGACAGAAAGGTTGAGCTTAGTAGTACTATCCCTATAGGCTGTGTCTCGCCTGGGGACCGTTCACTGCAGGGGCAGGGAACAGGATTCCAGCATATCTTCTTCCAGCTGGCATCACAAAACCCAGAAAGACACAGAAAAAAAAGAAAAGAAAGATAGGAAACACTGTCAACATTTGTGAACCAAAGTGAGGTGCAAAGACGTGAACAGCAATTCCAGCACAATGGCCAAACCACTAAGAAGCAAGACTCGCAAACATTTTGGTCCATGTTTAGTTCCAGTTTTGGATGATGTTTAACTAGACATGGTTAATTATCCACTGGGCTTGCATTCATGACTTGAACTAGCCACTATTTTCAATAAATGGCTTTTGCCTTACTATATGAAAACTCTCTTGATCCACTTGGGGCTAATTCAATTTTTCAGGGGAGAGAGAAATGATTTCTTGATCAAATTCTCTCTTCTGTATTTCTCTCTGTATTTTTCAGGGCAGGAACTGGATAGCATGGTATACCATGACAATTATAATGGGAAATTCCTGTTGGCACAGATACTACCTCAGGAATTCTCAGAGAAATCCATTTTTAGGAAAAACATCCAAACTTGTCAAGGGCTGCTTCCAAGAAGGAACGATGAAAGCTTGCCCAAGGTCTTAGCAGAAGCGGTGAGCCCTAGAGACAGTTGCTAGAACTGGCAGAACAACATGGATAGAAACAATTCTCCATTTGGGTGTGGTTTTGCAGTATTACATTATTCCTTCATCAGTCACACTATTACACTTTGCGGAATATTTCATGAAAGGTCACACATATGCTCTTCAAAAATTAAACATACATTAATAATTTTGGGGTGGGAGTCAAGTTTCCTAACTTTAGCCACCTAAAAATTTAGAAGCTGAGATTTTCTGCAAAGGAGGACAGGCATTTCCAATGGGCACCTCCTTCTATGTTAATCTTAGGATGAACTGAGTCGGCCTTTGGAGAGCTCTCTCCGTATTGACAACTGTGTCCCTGCACAGCTGACCAGGACAAGACACCCGACTTTCAGCTGGCTAAAGTCAGATGAGATGAACCACACTATTGATGCCCTCCTGTTCAAAAACATGAAGCTCTAAAACCGGGCATAGGACAGGCAGGAGCATACAGCAATCAGACGGAGTCATTTGTAGGAGAAGCCTCTACAGAAGCCCTTAGTGCTCCTAAAAATAGCAAAACTGTGTTTTTTAAAAAATTCAAACTATTCTGACAGTTCTCTTTCTAACCTAAAATGGAAACACTAGTCTGATGGCCTTGAGAAAGAGGGTCATATTTTCTCTTTTAATTTACTGCTCATCCAAATGTTCTCTTCTTTCCCCTAGTCAAAATTAACAAAAAACCCTGAAAAGGTTTTTCTCAAGTTTAATATAATTTAGTGCTATATGCTTGTGTTCTACTTTTTTCCTATCTGAGGACCTAGCGCTGTAAACACATGAGCACTGGAGCAGCTTTATGCAGAAAAGCAGTATCCCTGTTCACTGGGATAATTCATGTGCCTTTCACTATATTCTTTTAAGAATATATTCTCGAAATATTATTTCAAGACTGCAATCTAAAATATTAAAAAGAAGAACAGGACAAACATATCAAAAGAGTTTGTCCCCCCCTGCACTGATGACAGAGAACAATTACTACAGTACCAGTAGCTGGCCACTTTAAGGAGGTGAAGAGGTGGGGGTCTTACATAATTTTTTACCCTGGAAATGGATGGGAAATTTTCTCATCCCTTTTGTTTTTCACTCACACTCACCGCTCAGCGGAGGTGAAAGCTTCTGGGTTGAGCTATATGAAATTAATTGTTGGTGAGCATCTCTCAAGTGTGAGTTCACAAAGGTTTAAAAGAACACCACCCACGTGTACGATGCATGATGAATTCACTCAAAAGTCAGCCCTGGACATAGGAAATTGTGCGTAAACCTTCATAAGACTAGCCTGCGTTCAGCTGTATAATAAAACCCACTATCACTACTGTGTCATGCCACTTGTCATCCATGAAGATTTTGCACAACCCATTTTAATCAGCAAATCTGTGCAGTTAACACCGAAGCTTACCGGGAGCTCACAGAAGACCCTCCCTTCCCCAATACCAGGGCACATGCACTGTGGGTGAGGACTGCTTTGTTTTAAAAGCCACACATTTTCCTAATTAATTGTGCTTTAAATAAAACAAAACAAAAAACAACTAGCTAAACCAACACAGAGAAGCTCCTAACAAGCTATATGAAAAGTGAGCTGCCGAGATTTTCCATATCACGCGACACTTTCACACCAAGTCCTATTATTCTGTGTGTTGGTTAGAGGTGTAGTACTACAGCACGGTGGTATCAGCTGTCATGGTAGGAACCATTCATGTCAGACACTACAGAAAATTTAATGACATGACAGTACCTTCACAGCCCTCTGGTAGGTAAGGAAAATCTAAAAGGATCTTCCCAACCTTTCACAGTAAACACAATTGGATAATCTAAAGCACCTGCAAGCAGGAGATGAGTCCATGATATATCTTTTCAATCAGCCAGCTAATACTGTTATTAGAACAGTTAAGTTATGTCAGCTCTTAAGTCTCCTGTCTGTTTTGGGCATTTCTAAGGACCTTATCACTTTGGCTTTTAGCCACCAACAGATTTACTTGATCCAAACACTCTATTTCCTTCTCCCATATCCTCAGCTGTTTCTAAGATGCTCAAGCCCTTCACGGGCTGAATTACCATTTTGTTCAAGAGCTGTCTGGTTCCTATTCTTTCTTAGGAGCTGAGAGGAGCTAGCAGTACAGAGACATCCTGCTCTTCCGCATGGCTTCGCTGATTAAGTATGCCGGGCTCAGTTCTGGCTCCTCAGTCATGATTGAAATGTTCTGCCACTCCCCCAACTGGTTTGACTTTTTAATGGTGTCCACCACACACAGGGCATACAGACAGTCGTCAAAAGTGGCAGCCATTGTGAGGGGCCTCCCGTCCCAGGTCCTCCTGTCGTCCTGGTCCTCAAATGCCTGCCGGACAGCTTGAACCATCTTAATGGTGCCTCGGAGGTAGGGCGATGGGATGTCGCTGAAGGCCTTCTCTGGAAGTAAGGAGTTGCTGACCGGCGTAGAGTCCTTTAGCAGGAGCTCCCGCTGAGGAGAGCTATTGCTCTGTCCGTAGAGATCAGTGCCTATTACAATCAGCCGTCCTGCTGAACCCACCACAATAATGTCTTGTTTGAACTCCCCTGGGACATTGAAGTTCAGCGTCACCGTGCAGCACACGCCGCCTTCCAGGACCATCTGAAACGTACAGAAGTCGTCACTGGTGATCTGCCGTATCCCCTTGATGTGGTCCGTCTGCTTCACGAAGGTCTTGAGCAACCCATGCACTTTCACGGCCTTCTGGCTGGTGAGGAAGGTCAGGAGGTCGATGATGTAGGTGCCAACTGAGTGCAAACCCCCACCTCCCATCAGGTCATCACAGCTCCAGTTGTACTTCTTGCCTAGCAGGCTTCCGCTGTGAACCTGCACCTCACACACCAGCAACTGCCCTACGTAACCCTCTTGGATCAGCTGCTTCATCTTCACGAAAGCTGGCAGGAAGCGCAAAACGTTCCCCATGATGCTCATGAGCTTTGGGTAATAATGAGCCGCGGTCATCATCCTAAAGGCATCCAGGGGAGTCGCCGTTCGGTCACAGATGACATTTTTTCCAATGCCTGAAAAACAGTTTAAAAAGAAAAATCATCAACAAAAATGTATCGATTGAGTAAGCTCAAAGTCTCGAGGCTATTTTTAAAGACTATGCCAAGGAGAAAGATCCTTGAAAGAAGAAAACATTTCAATACAGTGTTAAAGGCAGAAAGATCCCCTCTGGCATGTTTCCAAAATGCATGTAACAGTTTCTCAAGCACCACAGTGAAAATGCATCCCCTTTTATTTTCAAAACGCACTCGTGCCTAAAAATAGCAAGAAGGTGAGGGCCTGGACAGATAAGAAAGTAAGCTAAGGTAAGTTGGACTGCTACCCCACATTTGCCACCTTCTGGGGGCAGGTACAAAAACAACCACCCCAACTCAGCTGTCTCACCGATGTCTCTTCTGTGATAACCTGCCTGTGTGTGGGCTTCCGAGAGCTGAATCTGAGCTTCAGATTCAAATCCCTGACGTGTACGAGTAACACTACCTCATGTCCACAGTAACTTAATGTATGTACACTGAAAAGTCTGGGCTTGTCTTCTCAATGGTCTTGTTCCTTCATCCTTCCTGTTCAGACTGTTTAAGAGGCTCTGACTGGAGACAGGGAGAAGTACTGGGCTTGTTGCTTGATTTAAAATGTAGGAATTGCTTCTCACTCATAAAATGCCACGCTATTCTGACAATGGCACTCATTTTTTTGAAGCAGCTCTGCCGAAATGTCAACAGCGCATCCACAGTGCCAAGGGCGAGCCACAATTGCTCTAAAACAGGTCAAACGTAGCTGTGACAATCTGTTTCCTCACAGAATTGTCCATATGGGCACACTGTTTACTGAAGCTTGCATGACGGTCCTGTTTCATCTGGCCATCAAGGTGTGCAGCTGAATGCAGTGCAGGCTGAGATGCCCAAATAATGGTTTTATTACTGATTTCTCCTCGTCAAATACTTTCATTCTGTACCCATCCACACATATAGTGACAGAGTCTCCAGTTTCCTTTATAGTTGCATACAAAGATTTTTTTTATGCTTAATGAGCAATATTAGGTGAGCTATACAACACCTTATAGCACTAAATATGATCTTTGCCTTGAGAGCCTGGGGCTATAGCTAGGCCTGGCACTTAAAAGAGCTGAATTTAGATCCTGTCTGCTGGAGTCCAGATGAATAAACCTGGTTGCTCACTAAATCTCTGTGTTTTGATTCCTCTTCCCTTCAGATAGGTGAGAAATCCCTTTTAGTTTAAAGGGCTGGTATGAGGATAAAATTTTACACGTTTGGGGGCTGTTTGGATGAAGTCATATAAATACAGACAGATGGCAGGCATCTGCCTGAGCCCACTTACATGAATATTTAACAGCCTGACTGGAAGAAGGGGGTCACAGTCCAAACATTCAATAACCAGCTTATCCACACTGCCTATTCCCAGTCTTTGTCTGCTGCTATTTGAGTAACTGAAACTGGAGGAAGGGCTGCCACCACTGAAGGGGCAGTCACATCCAGTAACAGCCAAGAAGGGAAAGATCTTCCTTCAACTTGCTCCCATTTACCTTCTACTTAATTGGATAAGTAGAGACTTATCCTCTACTCATTTTCCTCTTATATTAGGCAGGAATCCTCTATTCAGTGGCCACAGTCTTCCTTTCTCACTTTCCTCTCTCATCTTTACAGCCTGCTACTGGTGACTGAGTTGACATTTTCAATCTTACAGCACTTCTTTTCCTGCTCCTGAATAATTTTTTTCTGCATCTGTTTGATATTGGAGAAAGCATTCATCCACCTACCCTATATTCCTCTAACTGGTAGCTCCGGCTACGCCATTTGATACAGATCATTAATAGAACAGTCCTTGAGTTACACAGACTCTTTGCAGAGAGGTTTTAGTCTGGCAAATTAGTTATCAAAATAAGGGAAATCTTTGTCAGACAAAACTTGCCTACAGTCAAATCTTCCTGAAATAGTAATTTTCCCCCAAAAAAACCCATACATACTACGTCATCATCTGACCTGTTCATCACTGATCCACAAGCATCACTTTCTGCTCCAGTTCAGCTTGCATCGTTCTGCCTCACAGATGCCTGTCACATATTATCTGGGGTCTGTGCAGGCACTAATCTCTCAAGATACGCGGCTTTACACATGTGCTTGTGAGGAAAAGGGTCTGCTTTCATTAGGAATTGAAGCCTGGGGACAATCTTTTTCTGTGTGTTCACTGCCGTGCACAGTGGGGGTCAGTCCCTTCACTGTGTGGGGCAGGGAACACTCAGACTGTCACAATCCGAGTACCAAATGATGATTATAAATACGAAAGAGAAGCCTATGCGTTTTTACATCCCTTATATTCAAGAAGAATTGCCATTAGAATCAGTGTAATTCAGGTACACGTGTAGAGAAAAGGGAAGAGCCCTATATATTTGTATGGAGATGGGGAAGAAGTGGAGTCTTATATTTACTCCTTCTACCATTTCAACCTTTTTGGAAAGGTTGAAACCTTTTAATTACGGCAAATCCAAAATGTAAATGTTTCGAGAGCCTTCCCGTCTCTGTGCATATGCTGATAATACATGCTGTGCTCTCATCCCTGTCAGGGATTTAAACAGATTTTTGTTTGGTGCCCAGAAAGCTTTTATACTCTATTAAAGCTCGTGCAGATTCTTTCAGCGTGACACTGCTCAGCACTTGAGTCTGTGCACACTACAGATCTTTGTCTTCTCTGTAGCTGCAAATCTGCAAGCAGCCACATTAGCTTTCTTGAAGCAGGGAGAGAACATGAAAGGTTTGCTTAATTTAATTTAGAGAAATCCTCTGGTGTGTTTATGCAACTAGAATAAGAAATAGGCGGATCAAAACACCATCGTTTTCGGCTCTCCTCCCTCTGCTCTCTTCTCAAAAGGAGAAGGAAAAAAGGCACCTTCCCTTTGAGCCATTCTCTAAAGCGGCAACAGGCAGAGCAGAGGGCAGTGTGCAAGGAAAAACCTCCCTTCCCAATACTGACAGTCTCGTGCAAAGGCATGCTCTGACTGCAGGTGCTGCAGGGGGATTCTCTGGGAACTGACCCCTTCTCCTGGCCTGGGGTTAGGGTCTAATCCTGTCAACTTTCGGACAAGACTCTCTAAGAAAAGATCAACTGTTACCGCTTGTCATTCTATCAGTGTGTTTTGCCATTTCACACATCTTTGAAAATCACACCACAGCAAAGAGCAAGAAGGTATTAATTACATAAAAGCAAGGAAGTGCCGTCAGCTTGTTTCAGCAAGAAAGTGCAATATATTTGTCTGTGGTGATAAGCAACAGAGTCGAATATATCTCATTGTATGAAAGGACACACACCCCTTCCACATGCATCATGAAATCTAGTCTACGATGCTACAGTTCTCAATCAGGCAACTTCTGAGTATTGATTTCTTGATTTCTTAGGTAAAAAGAAGAAGAAAAATAATTTCAGTACACGTCATTCTTTTTGAAGGCTCTGCACAGCCTTCACCCCAGTCTCTCTGCTTGGCTGCGCTTCAAAATGAGGGACAGAGCGGTGCCAGACAGGTGGTAAGTGACATGACGTGGGATTTCTCTGATGTGGCACAGAATAGGGGAGGGCTCGCTCCCGGCCAGCCCAAGTCCAAAGCTGAAGTTGGGCAACGCATCTCCTAGCAAAGCTCCCGGGAGTGCAGGTTGACTCTCTGAAGTCCACCCACAGCTGCTGTGCAGGGCTTCAGCCTCAGACCTGTTCCAGGACCCACTGCTCCAGGCACAGACGGCCAGAAACACAAAGCACCTGCATTAACGGGCACCATGTCGTGGTGCCAGTGAGCCACCTGGGCCCACAGGTGTGGGGCCACAAGGTGGCAACCACATTAGACCCAACAGGTCTGCTTCCCTGAACCCCTCTATCTTCTCCCTCCAGCAGGAAAACAGGAAAAAACAAATAATGGTGGAGCTGGAAGATGTCCATCCATGAGATAGACCCGATCCCTAGGCCAATGACGTAGGTATAATTTGCTCTAGCAGTCTTTAAAAATGTGGAAGGACATGAGTTTGAGCAAAATGACACAAGAGAATTTGACTTCTAGGTTTGGTTGCTAAAGACTGAAAGATGGCAACATCTGACAACTGCTTGGTTCCTCTTTAAAATGAAATTAAGTTTCCAGAGCAGGTCCACATCACAAAACCACTACTAACACTAGTGTCTTCTTGCTTCTCAATGTCTCACAAGGAAAGTTAAGGGCTGAATGGTCCATCTTGACTATTCTTTATCTCCCAGCGTGTATATATCCCCCAAGCCAAACCTCAACAACTTAGATACCAATCTGCATTTATTTTAAGAAGATTATTAAAGAACACTGATCTCTGAAGAAGTACATGTCTAACCAACTCTCTAGAAGCAGCTGAGAAAATAGAAAATAATTGTCTATGCTATCATTGGTGCTACCATTCGAGTGAAGATTTCTCTAGCGCCTTATACTGGAAAGTCAAATTGTAACCATGACCTAATAACTTGTCACCCACCTCACAGTAATTATTTTTGTCAGGAAATCATGTAATTCATTTGCAAACCTCAGCCTTCATTTTAGAAAGAGGAAGCCCTTGCGATGTGGAGATAATTTTGAAAGCCAAACAGCCCAGAAGTGAGTGGTGAGTAGATACAGTCCAGGTTAGTAGCATTTCTTTTTTTTTTCCATGTAAATGCGGGGGGAAAGTAACGAACTACTAGAGTAAGAATTTAACTCCTGATTTTGAAATGCCTGGTGTTTGCAGCTCTTCATTTTACAGAAGAGTCTAGCTCCTTGGCTACCAGCAGCCCAGGTTACTTTGTCCCTGTAACGTCCCTGTGCTGCACAGCCTAAAACAGGGACAGAACTCCTGGGCCCACAGCACAGGGAGGGTACAGCAGCTGTGACTGGCACAGGCTTCATCAATTCTGAAACCTGCAATGTCAGCTTTTTTCCCATCTGCTCTGATTGTTTCAAATAAGGACAGAAACATTTT